CAAGAATGAAATAAAAATGTATTAAATACAGTAAAGAAAAATTATCACGAAAGACTGCTAGAAATTGTTAAATATAAAGTTAAAATATTTTTATTATTTTATTGTATTTATTGCTTTAAATCTTGTCATTCCTTTATAACAAGCTCGAGAATATCGTCAGATTCCACTGCCGGATCCTCTACACATGCAGAATGTTTCAAAGATCAAAGTATTTTGTTGTATGATTATAGAGGGATTATGTAATCCTTATAGTTATTTTGAGATAGGGTGAATATATGATCGGAGAAGGTTTGCGCTAAGAAATCTCGAAATCTACGTGTTGAGGTACCGTTCGAAATGGGAATGGATTCAGTTGTGAATAAATAAAACAGATGATATTTGAAATTAAATGTCTTCGTTAAAAGTTTCCTTGTATTGGAGGAAGAAAGAGTGAAAGAGAGGAAAATTAGGGAAAAAAAATACAAAACATGCAGCCGAAAAAGAATACATTTATCATCGCTAGCGCAAAAATCCATGTTGACGTCTCGATAACATTCATTTGTATTTTTATATCTAACCGATTGATGCTATCCTGACTGTTGCATGACGAATGATATATTGCACTGATTTTTGCAAAAGATACGGATGTTTATTTTCGCCAGCGTTGTTCCTCCGTGTTTTGTTAATATCTCATATAAACGAGATAAAAACACATTTTGTTGTTAGAATTGATGTTTCTTTATAAGAAAAATGTTTGCGATATTATAAATAGAAAATGTTTTAAATTATTTTTTGTCCTATATTTTTTTATATAGATATACGTATATGTGTATATGTGAATGTAGATGATTATGAGAGAGTACTTCTTGATGTTAGAACAATTACGAGTTAGCACATTGCTATTACGTTAATTAATGTACACATAAGAAAATAACGAGCTGATATTAAATTGTTCTAGTAAAAGCAAGAGTTAAATTTTTTTTGCAATGTAGTTGATGTTTCAGAAATATCTGTTATATTCAATTAGATTACACATATATTTATATCTTTCGTTAATACTATTATCTAGAAAACAAAGGATTGCCAATAAGAAAATTTCGACATTTTTTTGCTTTATTATGGAAAAACACAGTAAATGTAAAAGAGAATAGTAAAATGTTGAAAGACCAAGGAAAAATAAGATTTTCGCAAAAAAATGTTTTTAATTTAATAAAGATAATTTTTTATGTTCTTCACTGATTACTCATTGGAGAAATACATCAAACAAACGGTGAATTTTTGTCACCAAGAATGTATAAAAATCTCAATCTTTATTAACATATCAGTTATTGTATTTTTCCATAAATATTTGATATAATCAATTTAATTTATCAGTAAAGCGCATGTTTTATCGTGATTTAGTTGCTCCTTTTAAATTATTAGTGAGCCATTAGAAGCTAATGTTTGTACAATTGTACAACTATAAAAATCATCTTTTACGTCTAATTAATTAGTTTAATTTGTTTATTTACCAGTTATTTACCCTATGGTCATGGCTACCGATGAGGATCACGATGTACCAGCCTATCTTGTTGTACACGACCGAAGAACATGGATGCTCTTTGACAACGTTCTATGTCCGAGTTGAGCAACATGAACCGACCCTTCTGATGATAAAAACCTGTAATAATGAGGTGAATATCATTAATAAATATTTATCTTTTTGATGCATTAACAAATAATATTTAATGATATTATTTTACACGTAAATGTGCTACGTTTTTTTAGATGTTTTCGAAAGTTCCGTTATTCACATTTTTCATTAGCACGCATTAAAAAAATTATACAAAATAATTTCTATAACATATTGAGTCCGTTTTCTATTGTTGAACTAGCTGCACTAGTTTATCAGAAGTATTCTGAGTCTAGTATTCAGAGTTTATCTTTTTTACTCCACATTGAAAGGAAAGAGATAAACTCTGAACTAGTGCAGCCAGTTCAGCAATAGAAAATAGATTCATATAATATCGATAAGCTGATCCGAAAGCTATTGTGATTCGGTTTTTTTAATACAATTTATATATTTAAGGTGTCGAGAATTTACATGTTTAATTTTTTTACTTTATTTGATAATTTTTACGGCGCTTTTCAGGTATTTGGAGCTTACTGTTCTACTAGATGGTGCGAGCGTAATTTAAAGGACGATAAGGGTCAAAGACAAGCATACTTTGGTACCGGTGAGACATTCCTGTTCAGTTTGTATCCTGAACGAGCCAAGTATCCTTGGATAGGCATGGATTCATCGCACAATGACTCACGAGTACATCATTCAGCCGAGCTGTTTATGGCTGCTGATTCGAAGATGATAACTATCGGTGGCGGGTAAGTTTTGATGTAAATTAGTGCTCATAAATTTCTTAAAAATTGCGCAAAAACTGGCAAAAAGTGAAGAATATGGAAAGAGAAAGCTTTGATATCTTTTTGTTTCGGATCAAATAGTAACATATTTTATGCGGAATGATTTACATTAATTATAAACTACAGTGTAACACTATGTAGTGACTCGGGAAACGCAGTAATACAGTAATTTATTGATTTACCATTTAACTTTAGGGACGGTCAGGCGATCTGGATGGACGAGAATATAAGATTCGGCAAGACGGATCGGTGTTCGACCTTTAACAATCCACCCCTCTGTGCTAGTGGTGACTTCGAGATCAGAGTGTTGGAGGTGTATGGCTTCTCTGGTGCCTGAAGAGGGAAAAAACAGCGGTGTATTAGTTTGTTTTATTCCCTACTGCCATTTAGCGACTCTCTTTCTACATATACGTACTAAACACTGTGTTATATGTAATAAATGTGTCTCCGCATATCATTCTCTTTAGCAAAACTATGCGAAGAACAATGTGAGATTTGGCCAAACATTATAAGAGAACGAAAATATTCTATTTGGTTGTATATAGAAATATTTTGCATTTCCTTATGTATTTAATTTCTGAAAAATATTTGACATTTTTTCCACATCGAATTTAGATCTTATGAGATCTGGACTAGTAATATTTAGCCTGTTGTACAATTGAAAAGAAAAATGATGCTATTTATAAAAAAGAAAATATTAAGATTATGTAAGTTGGGCAGAACAGATAATAAGTAAAACAACGTAATTTTTATTGTTAATTAAGTAATCTATAAATGAATCGGTTTAAAAATTCTACATATTAACAATAAAATATGCTTATTTTACAGACAATTATCTCATCTTACATTGTGCAATCAAATCAAATATTTTTGTCCTTTTAAATTGAACAAATTTCACAAAGTACAATGCGTCAAGGTACACTCTACAAAATAACAACTGTTTACAATTATTGCCAGCTGTGCATCTATCGATTATTGGTGGCAATAATTGATGAGCAAGAAATCGATTCACATATGACTTAAAAATACATTATAATGATGACTTTTCGGAGCAATTATGCGTAAATGATATAACGTCAAGTATTGTTAGTAATAAATGGTCAACAGTAATGACTTATAGATTCATAAGACTGCTGTGTTTTGTGAGTCTATAGGTATACTTACATCATAAGACAATTAAAGCTATGTTTCAAAACGGGTAGCTTGTTATAACGATTATTGTCTGCAATTTATTGCAAAGTGTTGCAGGTAGTTATTTCAGTAGTTTTGGATACTTGTTAGTCCATATGCAAATACAAAGATATATTTATATTAATAAAATATCTCCCTTCTGAACATACCTTGGCATATCGAGAGAGAGAGAGAGAGATGTATCCGTGATTGCCTAGATAGTAGTAGTAGTATTGCTTATGAATTTATTGAGACGAAAAAAGAAAGACTAGACCTTTTGGCGTTTTCTCTGCCGCTTGAGATTATTCTTTTTTGTCGTCTCTTTCACTTATTGTTAGCATGCAATGATCATTCTCTTCATTTTGCATGTATATTGTATATGTTTAGACGACTTGACGGCGAGTAACTCCTGAATCAAGTTCGACATTAAGCGGCTTAAATAAATTTCGATTGTGCAATATCGAAATTTGTTCTATTTTATGCTTTTTCACTTTTCTAATCATGCCGATATTTTAGAATTAAAATGCTAATTCTATTGCTTAAAATATTAGAGAAAGATTAGAGAGAGGTGGAGTCAATTTTTATTTTCATTTTTGTCATCAATAACAGGCTGTTTAATTTCTTCCATTTCAAAATAGAGTGACATTACTTATTCTTATTGCGAGTCACTGATACTCTGCTCTAAAAATTATTCATAGTGCTCACACGTTGCACACAATACTTGTTAAAAGATTTTTCTTTCATTTTTGTCGATCTGCAATTTTATTCTAGAGTTTACCCGTCATCGAGATACGAAACGGAACGAAAAACAAAATACATATTAATCTTTAAAATTTAGCCACGTCGTTATTGCAAACTGAGCTTCGACAATAAGCTACGTTGAAGGCCATATAGTCGCGATGCGAAATTTCGCGATTTTCGTATGTACATATATAAAGAGCACGCTGATTCGTTTAAACGAATACTTAATATTCATTGAATTAGGAATTATTGTTATATGTATATATAACAGTGTATGTATTTTATTTATATATGTGTATATGTACATGTGTGTGTATATATATATAAAATACATACTGTGTGTATATGCGCCTGTGTATATACGTATATAAGTATACATATATAAATGTGCATGTGTGTACCGTCTCGCAGATCGTTTCACTGCGCTTGTCGTTAATTTCGTTATTGATGTCGTGTGTACACACATCTATTATAACGATTATTTATCTCTTACTGTTGTTATCTGTAGCTTTACGAAGTTGTTAGAAGCGAAAGAATCCAAGTTTTGTTCATAAAGTTATACGAACAAAACATATACACACACACACACACACACGCTGAGCTGCGCGTACATGCATATGTAGATTGTATACAGGATGGACCATAAGTATGTTAAATTTGCGTTAAGAATTATACGGAATGAAGTGAAGAAGCTGAAAACACGATAGATAACTCTTTATTTATGTGAGAACCGAAAAATGTTTGTATGTTAACCGGGAATGTTTATTAGTTCTTTAACATTCAATATAATATAGTGTATTGCAGGAAAAGTGCGATATTCTGTGAAACAAATTTTTCAGCTCAACGCTAGATTGACTTTACGTTTAGTGTAAATAAAACAAAAATTTGTATGTAGGATTGAGTATAATGAAGGTCTAAGAATGTATAATTATTTAAGTAATCAACAATCCGATGATCTCCAATTACAGAATTATAAATTCGTAATATTAATTTTCAATTCAAATTAATCAGGAGATGATGCTTTACGAATTATTTATATTCGCAAAATTGTACATTTATGTTACAATTATTAATTCTTAATATATATATTAGTTTCCATTAAATTTTCTAAAAAAAATTCGCATTAAAAGTATTAACCCTTAACTCGAAAAATTACTATTGCATTCTTGACTTATATTTTTCATCAAGAGAATATAAGAGTACATGCAATTAACGTTTGAATAACGTGCGTAATTTTGTAACTGCTCAATGTTTGCACAAAATTATGTATATTTATAATAATTGTATAATTAGTATATAATCTTGCCAAAACCATCTTTCTAAAAACATTCTAATTATGGAATTATTAGAAGTGGTAATGCCATATGAGAATACAAAAATATTAAATATGAATTCGATTTATAAATCAAGCTGTCTATCAAGCTACGACCTACTTAGATCTTGATCCGTTCACTCGTTATTGAGATCTCAAAATCTCGGGTACTTGCAACTCGTGCGTTCGCGTAAAAGAGTCACGACGGTCTTGCGCTGCGCGTGTACTTGGCGCTTATAGTGTATCCATTCGAAAATATACCTTAGAAAATAATTTATGTTGTATTAAATATATTTTTGATTTTGTGTAAAAATATTTTTTATATTGACATATAAAAAATATACTCGCTTTTTATGTAGAAAGAGGAAATAATATATGTCCCATATAATAGTTATTTGTGTAACAAGTGCCGTAGGCGAGTGCGGTAACCGCACTCGGGAATTTTCATCTTTACGCACGGCTTACACACCCTATTTTATGTTGCAAGTGCCTGGAAAGTAGTCTATCACGCACGCGTAGCGTGCGTAATGGGGCACTTTCCATGCACGTGTTGCATAAAAAATATTATTTATGTAGTAAAATTCAGCAGATATTTTTCATTATATAATATTCAATTTGATTTTATATATATATATAAGAAATATATTTTCTTATACAACATCTATTATTGTTCTACATATCTAATACCTATATTTTTGAAAGGCCGTTGTGCCAAGTGCATTACTTTGTTACTGTCAATTGTTAATTTATTACAACAGATAAACATACATGTGCAACATTAAAGGAGCAATCAGTTTGCCATAAAAGTTTAGGTGAAAAAATCCTAGGGCAATCGGGTTAAAGGTTAATCGAAAAATATCTTGACAAGTTCGCTATCACACACCTTACATGTATGACGATGAGAATTTTATGTAACAAATTCCTTTGTATATAATAAAATACATGTATTATATTACAATCGAATTATTTAAAGTGCAACATGATTTCTTTTACTTTCTGGAAGCAAAACGTAGCGAACATATTAAGAAAAGATGATCAATTATAATAGAAAAACAAAAAAACAGATTTAACATTGTTAAATATTGATATCATGGATAAATTAAGAATGTTAATATATTTTATTTATAAACACTGGAATTTCCTGTATATTTTCTCATAAATAGAGAAGGCAGAATAATTTTTTTTATTAAATAAGCCATTGTACATGTATTGAAAGTCCTTTTAGATTTCCATCATAATTGATCAGTCAACAATTTTTAAATTAATAACCAAACAATTTCGACGAATTGCTACAAGATAATAGAATAACAGATGTGTTAAAATTAACTAATCGTTTTCAAAAACTGCATTTATTAGTTCTCTATACAATCGAAAGACCTTGCTCAAATAATGTGGCATAAAATATATGTAAAATAAAGTATTCAATATAATTTTAATCGAGAAAACTTATCCATATCTGTATATATAGTACATCCCGTGCAAATCGATGTTAATCTTGTGTGTGTAATATATGCATGTTTTCTTATGAACAAAATATAATTATCGTCACTTTCTCAAAGAACAAGATTTAGTTTCTTATGTATTTTAGTTGATATCAATTTTCCAAAGTTATATGTATAGTTATTTCATACACATTTTGTAGAAGTTGCAAGTTGTAAAATTGTAATAAAAATATTCTTATCTTACATGTGTAAATTAAAAAAAAATCTGAAATATTATTTAGTAATTCATAAAATTTTATTTGATGCAACCTCTTTTGATTATACTATTGATTATGATTGCGAAAAAAAGATGGTACAAATCAAAATTCCAAGTCCTATAAATTTTGAATTTATTTCCTTTCCTTTGTTTACATTGTCGGCAAAACTACAGTCTAAAAATCGACGAGAAATCGATAATATTAGAAAATCAGAAAGAGAAAATCAAATAGAAAATGTTATTATAGTTAAAGTGAACGTATATTTTATTATATTAATTATATGTATTTATCTGAGCATATATATGTGTGTGTGTGTGTATATATATATATATATATATATATATATATATATTTATCCAGTATATATATATCCAGATAAATATTTTCTATTACATACACTTTTTTCTTATATGTACAATCTTATTTTTACGATACAAGTACATAATTTTATATACAAAACTTATTACCCTTATATCTAAAATTTATCATGTTATTTTTCTTATTTATTTTTATAACTGTCGTATAACGATTCTATAATCTTAAATTCTACCTAAACAGTTATGAATTTATACTCATTTAAAACTATTTTTTTTTTTACATACTGTAGTACTTTGAACATCAAACAATCAGTTGAATGTTGCACTTCATTTTTAATGCTCAGGTTAAACTATCAATCTTTCTATGACAGCGTAAAAAACCTGTAATAATAATTATCATGTAAATAATGATTACGTATTTTGTACAATGAGAATACAACGCAATATAAAGTATATAATTTTATTTATTACTAGGAAAATCAGTGTAACTAGCTGGTTTGTTTAATTTTCTTTTCTATTACTTTTTGTTAAGTGTATTATATTATATTATATTAAATGTATTATATTATGAATAAATATAAATAAAATATTGTTAAAATGTTATAAATCATGAAAGTTATAATTTATACATTATGTATTGTACATATACATAAATATCATAATTACGAGAACATAGTGCTACATGCTTTGCATATAATTATCCTATTATACTTTGTACAAATATAATCAACAATATTTTGAATAATAATAGTACAAAGTACAGCAACATGAATATAAATTTAGATTTTGATCTAATATATGTATATATACACGTATGACATGTATATACATGTATAAGTATATCGAAATCTAAATTTGAAAAAGAAAATAAAAGCCTAAAAAAGGAACTCGTAAAAAAAAGCAAATAATAAAATCTATGTCTAATTTTATTCTTATCGTTGATTATGATACATGTTTTAAAAGTAAATTTGTATGTATATTTGAATCATATGTACTTTGTGCGTGTTAAGGCGCTTCCACCTTTCGTAGGATCCATCATTCGATCCCAGTTAGTATGCCCAACAACAAAGCCGACAGCGCGCATCTTTTCCTGCTCTTTACGCTCTTCTAGATCGGCCCAACGTACCTGTAAAAAAAAGCAAGAAAATAATCTTCTTTTTGAGTCCTGTATTTATCAAAAGACTATATTTAAAGCTCTCACTGCAGTTATATTGGACTAATATCAAAAATAAAAATTTGCATAAACATTAAAAATAAAAAATTAAATTAGTTTTAAATAGATATTAACAAAATTTTAATTTATACTTTGTTGCAAATATATACAATATTAAAAATTGTGAAAAACTACAGTAAACAAATTTTCCTATTTTGCCAAGATAAAATTTTCTTCAAATTAGCTAAACAAGCTGTGATCAAAAGATATTATAATTTAACATTGTCTTAACATAGTATGATACGTACTCGTTTTTTACCAGAAGTATCTTCCATATTGTAGTAATCAGGAACTTGTAAGAAATCTTCCATAGTTTGCGGTTTTGCTTCGTTCTTTCTTCTTGCCAAACCGTCCAATCGATCTATATTATTACATTACGAAGAAAATTAAAATAAATGGATAAAATAAATAATGTATAATTAGTCATAGAAAACTGTAACACTCAATATGAGTTTACAAGCACAAATGTTCCTGCAGTAATATAATTATATTCTAATTCCTTCTAGTTGAATTTCTTATACATTTCTAATATTTTTCAACTGGAAGTAATTTCCATCTCTATTCAGATACTCTTCAGTCAATAGGCCTGTTCGTTTTAGCTGAACTTTTTACACAGTTCAACTTTTCTCCTTTTCTTTCCAATATGAAAAGAAAAAAAGAACAGATAAATCATGCAAAAAATTCAGCTAAAACAAAGGGTCTAATGACCAAACATAAGCTTACTTTTTGTTGTGCACCAAAATTTACGTTTACAAACTCATATTGGCCTTGATTTGATTTGTTAAAAAAAAATATATATAATTATTCTTACAGATAATTTACGCTAAATATAGAAAATATGCGTAGAATATAAACGTATACTAATCTGTCAGTATAAATTAATGTAAATTGATTAACCTAGTTTATCTTCAGCTTCCATTCTCTCCCACTTACTAACACCCTAAAAAACAAGAACACATATTTAAAAAAAACCATAAAGGAAAATCACAGAATGACATGTAAAAAAAAGCAAGCAGATCTTAAGCTCATTTAATTACAATTGTATCTTGAGCATCTTCCTGGCTATCTTGACTATCTTCAGTTTGTGCGGTAGATTGCTCCTGCGTCTCTTGACTATCCTCCATATCCACCTTGAATAAAGATATTTGTGATTACAAATACATCTTACGATATATACATACATAATATACATACATACATACATACATATATATATATATATATATATATATATATATATATATATATATATAT